AAAGACTCGTTGAGCAAAGCGCTTGTAATCTTCTACCCATTAGCCGGGCGTCTCCATGAGATTGAATTTGGGGGAGGCCGCCTTGAACTTCATTGCGATGCCAAGGGAGCTATTCTCGTCGAAGCTGAGACAGAATTCACGGTAGAAGATTTTGCAAAACAGGATTTTCTTCCGAATGAAAAAATGAGAGAGCTTATTCCGAAAATGGATTATAGTAATACTCCAATATCCGAGCAACCGTTGGTTTTGGCGCAGCTTACTAAATTCAGTTGTGGTGGACTTTCTCTTGGCTTGGGCATTTCTCACGTTTTAGTAGATGGCCCGTCTGCTTTCCATTTTATCAATGAATGGGCCAAAATTTCACGCGGGGAGAAGACCGGTATCCTCCCAGTACTCGATCGGAAAATTTTGCAAATTGAAGAACCTCCGAAGTTTGAGCATACGGTTTTGACACCACCGCCACTCCTAATAGGCCAGTCGGACAATACGGAGGAGCGGAAGAAGCCAACAGCAATTGCCATGCTAAAGCTAAGCAAAGAACAAATTGATAAATTGAAGGACAAAGCAAACGAGGGTAAACTATACAACAATTCCTCTCGTCCATATAGCAGGTATCAAAATTGAACTCATCACTTTTGTCCAGTATATATTTTTGCATCAAATGAGAACGGAAGGGGGCAGTTACTTCTAATTTAACCCTACCTGTTTGAGCCTGTTCACTTTTCTTTAAACTCATTTTTGATCACACATTCTTCTAATAAGCTCAAACATGAGTTGAGATATACTGTCTAAAATTGACTATCCTACTCGCTGACTATCAAATAATTAATTGATACATGACTTTAAATTAATATGTTCAACTTTTCTCTCAGACTGTGTGCAATGATGTATGGAGATTCTCCTCCTGCAATTGTGCTTGTTGGCCACAGTTTGTGCCTTTGTATGCCGTTTAGCTTCTATCCTAATAGTATTCGTTCGAGCTTATATTGTCCAATCACCAGCTAAGATTGATCTAGGGAAAAAGTCTTTACAATTAAAAAAAAAAAAGGATGATTCCTACGAGTTAGATGTGAGGTTTTTTCAGTAGATTTGGTTACACTTAGTTCAGATATTGAAGAGAAATGATGCTTTGTACTCTTAACTACTTCGGCTAAATATAAATAAAATAAAATAAAATAATTTCAATGTTCGTGTATCTGATCCCTTTTTTTTTTTTTTTTTGGTAATATTTTTAGTGCACAGAAACTACTGGGATCTTTGATGACACCCATGAAATATTTTATCCTGTTGAATAGTCTGCATCATTATCAATTCGTGTAATTATCAAGTGACAATTAATTTTCATTCTTATCAAAATATATCAATGGGAAATTCCAAACAAGAAAAGCAACTTCAACATACTTTAATTTCTTATTCTATTCTTTACCATAAATTTCTTAGAGGTTCATTTCCATAATTGTCATGACGTATGGGTGCCTCAGTTGCTGCGAAGAAGGCACTTCCTATCTTGGCTGGGCTAACGATTTTAGATGTATATGTTTATATAGATCGAATGGAGTGTCAAATTTATGCACGTAAATCCAAATATTTTTTCAATTTTTTTAATCACATATTCTTAAAAAATCACTATTTAAAACTTAACTTTACCCAAATAATGGTTGTCAAACATGGGCTTATAGCTTCTGGCTGTTTAGGGGATATAGTAAAGTTTGTTTTGAATGTGAATAACAAAAAGTTAAGTTTAACAATGTAGAAACGAAGTTAAACAAAGTAACCAATTGAAAAAACCCTAGAACTTTTCATTCTTTAAAAAATTATTATTACGAAATCTATTTTTCCCTGAAAATAAGCTCAAACATAGCTTAAATCTCTTGGCTTTTATTATATACTTAGCTAGTGTTTGACAGTCATTATCTCAAAATCTTTATTTCTACATACTCATTTTCAACCACATATTCACACAATAAAATATTTTGTATGTAAACCCAAATTTTTTTCCCAATTTTTTAACCATATATTCTTGAAAAAAATCACTATTCAAAACTCCACTTTACTTACTAATGGTTGTCAAATAGGGGCTTATAGTTTCTGGCTACGTCCTACATACAGGTATGAGGCTGTCGCTGGACATGTGTGGAGATGTGCCTCCAAGGCACGAAGGCTCGTAGACGAGCAACTAACTCGATTGCACGTAGCAGTCAGCTTCAGAAATCGAATTCAGCCACCAATACCACAAGGCTTCTTCGGGAATGCCAATTTACGTGAAGCAGCAATAACCACAGTTGGGGAATTACTCTCTAACCCTTTAAGTTATGCTTCAAGTAAAATACGCGAAACTGTTGATCAAGTAACAGATGAATACGTAAGATCATATCTTGGACTTATTAAGGCTCTACCAGATGTTTCCGTGCACCGTAATTTTCACACAGCAGGGTGTGCAATGGGAGCTTTCTATGGAAATCCAAATATGGAAGTCACAAGTTGGACATCTATGCCTGTATATGAAGCTAATTTTGGTTGGGGAGAGGTGATCCACTTGGGCCCTGGATCAATGGGTTTTGATGGGAAATCCTTCATTATTCTAGATCGAGATGGAGGTGGATCATTTACTCTTGCATTGTGCTTGCAACAGGAGTATATTGACACATTCAAGAAGTTGTTTTATGAAGAAATATCCGCAATTTCTTTATGTTCTCCACAAGCTCAAAATAAACCTAGTCTGCCAGCTTGATTTTAATTTGCAAGTAGTTATTTATCTTCATTTTTCCATTTACATTTGTAGGTTTCCATAATAATCTTCCTTGTTGGAGCAGAAGGATTGAATATTATCCATTACTAGTTCATTAAATTCTAAATATAGCTATGTGGAATCAGAGGCCCAGCTTGGGAGGCAAATTTCACAAAATTTTAATTGTGGGGGCAAAATTAAAAACTACAAGGGTTATTATTATTATTATTTTAAATCATCTGTAAAATTTTGAAAAATCCATTGCAAAATCTTGTATTTCAAATTTAGAGTGGGGAAGTAGACCCACTGCTCTCACACTGTTTGATTAAAAGCAAGGCACCTCCAGTCGACTTCCCATTATACAAGACGTATAAAATCGCAGAGTATTTCCCACTGTGCCAATCTGTTGGGCAGGGAACGAGACTCTCATATTTAATTCAGACGTGATAGCGGTGGTTAGTGGTTACGGGGTCTCTAATGAATCATGGTGACAAAGGACGTTACATCTAACAAGATGAATTAAAAGATGGGGACAAAGCTAACGATGAAGAAAAAGAAAAGCTTGAAGCAAAAGATGCAGCACACTTAGTAGAATTCAAATGATTGTTTCACGAACAATGTCCTCTAGAAAATCTCAAGCAAACTCACAAGAGAAGTATGGGATATTTTAGAAAAAAATCCATGGAGAAGACAAGGTACGAACCATTAATTTGATATAATCTCCAAGTCGGGGGGCTGATTCAGAAAATTATATTGACGGGGTTGAATTTAAGATGGTCAATACTGAAAAGTTCATAGATAAAATAAAAGTCATTAAATAACATTTATGTATGTTTTCAGAAAGATTATTTTTCATTACACGGACCATTAATTTATGTAATCTCCAAGTTGCCGGCGAATTTAGGAATTTAAGTTGACGGGCTAAATTTTTTTTAAAAAAAATCGATATTAAAAAGATATAATATTTTTTTGGAAAAATTGCAATCAAGGTACCAATTTTTTCGTTTATTAAACCAAACCTTTCATTTGTACTACTATAAGTACCAAACCTTTACAAAATTCGCAGTTCAAGTTCAGAATGATGGTCTCCGTTAGTTTAACTCCAAAAACTATTAATTGACCTTGAAAATTAAAAAATCTAATAAGTTTAACCAAGTAAGGTAAGGGTAAAATTGTAACTTAATAATTTAAAATTAAAAAAAAATCGATATTAAAAAATATGTATGTTTTAAGAGATAATTTTTTTCATTGATCCTAAATAAATAAGTTACTGTAAAAGATGCTTTTTAAAATAAGAAATGTTTTTCGCTGTCAAAAATTTTTTTTAAAAAAAAAAAATGCTCAACCATATATATATAAGTGCTCAACCATGGAAAAAAAATATCATGCTGAACCATGACTTTTAACATAATGAATTTTGCAAAAACTTATATAAATATATAAATTATCCTTTGGTGGATGCAACACAAATCTCGATCTCATTAGCCTAACAATGTATGAAATTTGAAATGTGGTTATAGCCAACTCATATGGCATGACTATCAATATTGCCCTTGAAGGATTCAATATTTTCGAAGCGTATAATTCAAGTAATAGTATTGTGATGGGAATAAATACATGTTACAATCTTTTTTCATTAACCAAAGTTTTATATCATTGAGTTTTTCTAGCAAGATTTTTAATGAGGCAACTTTTGTAACTTACTGAAAAAATAATGTACTTTTTTCATTCATTAGGATTTTTCTCACAAGTTTTTTCTTATAAGATTTTAACAATGTATATTCTTTGTGTAATAAATACCCACAACCTACAAGATATTTACCCTCAAAATAATACTCTTATATGTTTCAGATTTTTGAAGAGAATAATAAGTGATGTTATTCAAATCATCATATTACTATAATTATCAAATGTTAATAATAACTCGCGTGAAAATGATATTGCTTGAACACTACCAAGATAATACGAAACATACTTCACAAGAATTATGATGTTGGAGGTATTAACGTACAAGACATGAATGATTTGATACAAGAATTTTTATTTATTGAAACAATGGAGAGCAATTGTACTGTTTTTTTTCTTTTTATTTTTTTTTAAATCTAGTTTTCTCACATTGAGTTTTATTGACAAGATTTTAACAAGATAAAATTTTATTAATCAAATTTTATTATAATTATTTATACTCTCTTTCCTTCATTTGATATTTTTGTGCATTGAATTTTTATCAAATAAGATTTAACGAGACCGACATTTTATAATAGATAATTCAAGGGCATTATAAAGGTTGAACCCCAACCTTGACGGCCATCACCACCTCGTCCCTAGAACATCGTGAGGGAAGTAAATTGAGGAATGTGCTCCAGCAGGTCAGGCAATACGAGCTTGCTCGTACACTGGTGCCCACAAAGAATCAAATTTTATATCTCAGGAATTGAAACTCTTACAATGCAGCTGCCAGCAAAACTGAGATTACTTCACTTCTATCTTTTACACCATTGGGTTATGCCTCGAGGGGCAATTCAAGGACATTATAAATTATATGTTTATTAGTGAATGACTAATATATCTCTACCACTCTAGTTATTATGATATTAATACATTACTTACAACATTAATTCTTTCTTATAAAGATGAAGTTTCAAGTCTATAAACTTTTTCTGCTTTCGTCTTTTTCCTTTTTCTCCTTTTTAAAGCATTATTGACTTAACTTTTATAAACTTTTTTAGTTAAACAAGACATGGACTTTTTACTTCGCAAGTAGTAATAAGGCTATTTGCAAATAATAAAGCATGGAAGGGAAGGAGACAATTCTAGGATAACAAACCCCGACAAGTCAATAAATTGAATCTGTGGTAGACGCAAACATTTTAAGTCAAGGGGGCAAGACCAAACTTGCCAAAAATTATGAGAAATTTTACATTAAAAAATTTACATCCAAAAAAATCATTTCCATGTAAATTTACACCGAATTTTACATTTGAAAATTTACTTGGAGTATGACTTTTTCAGATGTAAAGTTTTGAAAATTTATAATGTCATGCCCTTTGTAATATTTTCTAATAGATTGATGTAAATTATATTGAGAAATTTGTTGTGCAAAAATAATAAATGTTAATAAATATTTTAAAGAAAAGACGAGGAAGACGCACATTTGACGTACTTTTAACTATTTTTTGTATTTATTTGGATCGTTCAACATGTCTATGATCCAGTTCTCGAAAAGAGTTTCGAGATGACATAGGCGATTTGTGAATTTTGAAAGAGATGATCGTTGGAGAATTTTTAAAGTTAGTATTTTATTGAAATTCTCAAAATACTAATTTGGAATAACCTATTTTGATAAGTCATAACATTAGCTACAGTTGATCGTTTCACGCGCCATTGAAGACGTAGAAAACTAGGCTAGGAGCACGTCGAAATAATATTAAGAATGTAATATGTCGACATCGTTTGGTATTCCGTAATGACAACGAAAATTGAGACAAAAGCAAAAGTTGGGGATCAAGTGACTACCCATGCCACCCCCTGTGTTCCCCACTGAATTGAATCCACAACTTCAATCTCAGTTTAAATAGTCCATTCACGCAGACGGTGAGAAAAGCAAAAAGTATTTTCCTATTCTCTCCCCCTTTCTTCCTCCGTTTCCAGACGAAAATGGTGACAGTGAAGACAATTCATACAGTACAACCTGCTGAGCCAACTCCAAATGAGATCATGTATCTATCAGAACTTGACCAAATTAACGCCGTTACTCATGCACCCACTGTCCACTTTTATGGTCCAAATACAGATTTTCACTATTCAGATGCAATCCAAATTCTAAAAGACTCGTTGAGCAGAGCGCTTGTAATCTTCTACCCACTAGCCGGGCGCCTCCATGAGAGTGGACTTGGGGGAGGCCGCCTGGAACTTCATTGCGATGCCAAGGGAGCTACTCTCGTCGAAGCTGAGACAGAATCCACGGTAGAAGATTTTGCAAAACAGAATTTTCTTCCAAATGCAAAAATGCGAGAGCTTATTCCGAAAATGGATTATAGTAATACTCCAATATGCGAGCAACCATTGGTTTTGGCGCAGCTTACTAAATTCAGATGTGGTGGACTTTCTCTTGGCTTGGGCATTTCTCACGTTTTAGCAGATGGAACGTCTGCTTTCCATTTTATCAATGAATGGGCCAAAATTGCACGCGGGGTGAAGACTGGTATCCTCCCAGTACTCGATCGGAAAATTTTGCAAATTGAAGAACCTCCGAAGTTTGAGCATACAGCGTTGACACCACTGCCACTAATAATAGGCCAGCCTGACAATACAGAGGAGAGGAAGAAGCCAACAACAATTGCCATGCTAAAGCTAAGCAAAGAACAAATTGATAAATTGAAGGACAAAGCAAACAAGGATAAACTATACAAAAATACCTTTCGTCCATATAGCAGGTATCAAAATCGAACTCATCACTTTCGTACAGTATATATTATTGCATCCAATGAGAAGGGAAGGGAGCAGTTACTTCTTATCTAACCCTACACATCAAGATTTTAAGCTGAGCCCCATTTTCAAAAAATAATTTTTCTTCAAACTCATTTTTAATCAACATTCTCCCAATAAAATACTTTTGTATGTAAATCTAGAACATTTCATTCTGAAAAAAAATTATAATTATTAAATCTAATTCCATAAAATAAGCTCAAACATAGCCTAAGGGCTGATTTGGCAAAGTTTTTGCTTTTATTTCTTGTAAAATAGCTTTTGGAGGAAGCTACCATAATTTTTGTTTTAAAACTAATATTTAAAAGTACTTTTCATCTTAGAAGTGCATTTAGAGGAAGTCACATTGAATCAACTTCTTCTAAAAACTTGTTTACCTACGAAATTTTTTTTAACAAAATTAGTTAACGAGGTCCAAAAGCAACTTTTGTGTTTCAAAAGCTCTTTTTGACTTTTTAAAAGTCATGCGAAACAGGCGTTAAGTCTCTTGGCTTTTACTACATACTTAGCCAGTGTTTAACAACCATTATTTCAAAATCCTTTTTTTTACATACTTATTTTCAACTATACATTCAAACAATAAAATATTCTACACGTAAATCCAAAAATTTTTCCGAAATTTTAACCACATATGCTTCAAGAAATCACTATTCAAAACTCCATTTGAACCATATAGTGGTTTTCAAACTAGGGGCTTATAGTTTGTGGCCATGTCCTACGTACAGGTATGAAGCTGTCGCTGGACATGTGTGGAGATGTGCATCCAAGGCACGGAGGCATGTAGACGAGCAACTAACTCAATTACACATAGCAGTCAACTTCAGAAATCGAATTCAGCCACCAATACCACAAGGTTTTTTTGGGAACTCCATTTTACGAGAAGCAGCAATAACCACAGCTGGTGAATTACTCTCTAACCCTTTAAGTTATGCTTCAAGTAAAATACGCGAAGCAATTGATCAAGTAACGGATGAATACATAAGATCATATCTTGGACTTATTAAGGCTCTACCAGATGTTTCGGTACACCGTAATTTTCACACGGCAGGGTGTGCATTGGGAGCTTTCTATGGAAACCCTAGTATGGAAGTCACAAGTTGGACATCTCTGCCTGTATATGAAGCAAATTTTGGATGGGGAGAGGTGATTCACCTAGGCCCTGGATCAATGGGGCATTTTTGCTAGCCTACCGTTAGCTGGCCACTCGAGCGACATCTACATATTTTCTATAGACTTGTTGTCCGCCTGGCGCTCGAGCGACAGGGTTATCGACCCAAGTACGTATATATACATATATATATATGTATATATGTACATATGTATACATATGTATATATGTACATATGTATACATACATATATGTACATATGTATACAATACATATATGTACATATGTATACATACATATATGTATACATACATACATATATATATATATACATACATATATACACACACACATATATATATATATATATACACACACACATATATATATATATACACACACACACACATATATATATATATACGTATGTACGTACATATGTATACACACATATATATACATATGTATACGTATGTACGTAGATATGTATACGTATACGTATGTATGTATACGTATATATATATATATATGTATATATATATATATATATGTATATATACGTATATATATATATATATATATGTATATCAATACTATTTGATTAAAAGCAAGCCACCTCTAGTCGACTTCGCATTGTACAAGATGTACGAAATTAATGTGTTGAGTATTTCCCATTGCGCCAATCTGTTGGGCAAGGAGCGCTACTTTTATACTTAATTTAGATGTGATATCGATGGTTAGTGGTTACGGGGGTCTCTAATTGATCACATTAACAAAGGACATTACAGATGACAAGATAAATTAAAAGATGTGGACAAAGCCATTGTAGCACTGGTCAATGAAGCTTGGAAAGGAAAATACCTTTGTTCAAAATTTACCTGAATAATCAACTTGTAGCAATCCAAAAATTTATCTATTTTGTATATTATATAAATTCCTATTTTATTTGGGTCTAATAATTAAATTTTCACAAATCAAGATTTAATATATCAATATTGGGCTTGTTGGATAAATCATATTAAATCATGAATTTTAGGCTTGAGAAAAAGTTAATTTGGATAAGTTAGGCCAAAGATATCATAGTTCTAAGAATAGATGTTATTTTAAATTGGTTTAGGATTTGGTGTAGTTGGAGCCACTAGTTTCACATGTAGATATATAGGAATTCTACCGTGTAGTTGTAATTGTAATGGTTGACTATGATTCTACTTTTGATTTGATAAGTATTAATTATATATATTTTAATCACGATCAAGTACACGAATCACATCATGATTTGCCTTATCAAAAAATTTAGCTTTATCCAATTTGGTGGTACACGTCTTTTTTATCCCAATTTCACTCAAATTCTATTGTCTTTTTCAACTATAAATACAATGCCAAAAGCCTCATCATTGACTACCAAAAATAAATACAATACATACGGGAGGGAGAGAGAGAGAGAGAGAGAGAGAGAGAGAAGAAAGAAAGAGAGAGAGAAAGGAAGGAAGAGAGAGAGAGTAGCATTGGAAATAAAGGTTTGCATGCATCGAATATTTTAATCACGTATTTTTCAAAGCGGAAAAAAGATTTTGAACGTGTTTCAAATTTTTCTAACGAGGTAAGATACTTTAAGTGTAAGTGTTTTTGTTTCCTTTTGCGTTTATATTCAATAAAAAAATACATGGATTGTCAGTAGACATTCATTTTTTATTTTATTTTTAGAGATATGTAATCCTACGAGATTATAAGAGGACCTAAGATGGGTGTATCGCTTGGTCACCAATATACTCCATAAGATCAGATGGTGTGAATTGTAATTTTTATTGCTATATATATGTATATGAAAACTGCACGTATCTTACTGGGTATTTTCGAATACTCACTCTTACAAATTTTTGCAGGTTAGTTCGGATCGATTGGAATTGTGGAAGGGCAGTGATGCGGGTGCCAAGTGGATCAAATGAAAAGAAAAAAAAATAAGTTTGTCGTTTTTAAATTTACCAATTAGTTTAATTTTATTCCAAACGTGTTATTTGAATTAATTAGGAGTTTATATTATGTTTAGATAAAATTTTCATATTTTAAATTTAGATTTATAAATGTTGCAGTTATTTGTTTAATAAAAAATCTTATTTTTTTAGTTCCACACTTAAAATAAAGAAAAATGAGTTTTTCGTAACGTTTCAAAGTTTATAGAAAATTGGGGCGTTACACTACCTGTTTCCCCAACAAAGTCTCACGAAATCTTCCCTCTTTGCCTAACAAGAGAGGTATAACCGTCCCATTTTTGAACTAAAAACTTGCATTTTGAGTCAAGTAGTACCCAAGAAAGACACATGGGTTTGACTTAGGTTGAAGTTTGTGTTTGGTAAGGATCTAGCCACGTTAACATCGACATCCAAATGTATGTAACTTTTGGTAGTCGGGCATTCAAACAATAAGGCCTCAAAAGGACTCTTACGTGTGAGTAGGAGGGTAGAAAGGCAATTTATGAGGTAAACAATCGTGGCTAAGGCACATGTCCCGAAAGGAGAGGGAATGGATGCATGATGTAGAAGCGTCATACCAATTTCGACTGTATGTCGATGACAACTCTCAATAGTACCATTTTGCTGGGGAGTATGAAGAGATGTTGTAAAGTGATTAATACCATGTTGTGCTAGAGAAAGAGAGGTAATTTGATAAATCCAGCACCATTATCAGTATACAAAATTTTTATTTCGCAAGCAAATTGATTTTCAAGCATGATAGTTAATTGAATAAAAATAGGGCTACATTAGATTTGTTCTTCATGGAATAAGAGGTGACAATATTTAGTGAAATGATCATAAAATAAGACATAGTAGCGAAAAGTCATCAATAAAGGAAACGGGAGAAGGACCCCAAACATCGGCATGCACAAACTCTAACGAAGCATGGCTTGTAAGAAAGGTGCAAGTAAATGGCAATTTATAAGATTTATTACATTGACACAAAATACAAGAAAAATAGGACTTTCACAAGAAAACTAGCAAAGAATAACTGCAAAGTAACAATGACAAAATTTAGGGATAGGATGCCCCATGGTGCCATTGTGAAAAAAGACTCAGGTTCCAGTAAGTCTTATTGCATGAGCTTAGCTAGAGGGAGGTCATAGTGCCACCGAATAGACTCCATATTCACACTACTGCGCATGAGCACTGCTCCCATCATCCGATTCTTCACAAAGAAAATGAAAGGGTGATACTTAACGGTAATATTATTATCATGAGTAGGGAGACGAAGTGGAGCCAATGTAAGTGACTTGTAAATAGGTACCTTCCCCTAGAACAACTTAATCTTGACAATCATACTCCTAGTGAATAGAAAAATTTGTCAAATCAGAGATGATATTGTGAGAGGCAGTGGAATCTAGAAGCCATTTTCTATTTTTGGACGTGGAAGTAGCACAATTTGCTTCAAGGCGTAACGTAAGTTTGTCACAATTCTTGGTAGTATGACTAGGCTGATCACAAAATTGAAGGCAACTGAAAATGTTTTGGAAGGATTCTTCGTGTGAGAGGTAGATTTTGCCTTGTTCTTGCCTGTATTGTAGCAACCATCGAATGACTTTCTTGTGAGGGATGGATTTAGCCTTGTTCTTTTCCTTTTTTGTAGCGACCATCAGAGATAGTGTACGTAACCAACCAAGTGATCATGTAATTCAAAAAAAATAAGGCAGATTCGATAGTGAGTCATCATTCCCAAAATTTTGAGCTAAGAACATTGAAAACACACCAAGTTAAATCATCATCAGAAACTGGCAGGTGTTTACAAAAACATATTTCGAATTACGCAATTGTACTGTTTGTAACAAGTAATGGAGTGGATGTAAGTTTAAGAGTCGTCCCACGAAAATTGATTTAGTTCAATTCTTATTACCTTGACCTTAACCGAAACAAAAGTAATACTACGTATTTTTGTGACAAAATTATAAGTAAAATAAATTACGTATGCAACTAAGAATGAGTTAACTAAACTAAATGCAAATTATAATTGATGCAAATTGATGTGTTCCGATGAATAACAAATTTACTAGGACCACGAATTCACATATAATAATCTTTTTTAATCTTAGTTTTACACTTTGACAACACTATTGAATATTGAAGAATCAATGTTCCTATTATATTTAACAATCTTTCTCGAGTACGTTAAACCTATTCTCATATATGATCCAACTATATCTCTATGATGGATGCAAACATACAAGAATGGATGAATTTTTATGAACACTTAAAGATTCACATGGAACATAGCGGTATATTTCTATTTCCTTCGAACCCTACGACGTTTTATACCATGTCGAGCCTGTTTTTCTTCTTTTGAACGCATAAAATAAGCCACATATTCACATAATTACCGTTCATAATATTCATGGAGAAAATAAATTTATATAAACCATTCAAATTCCAAAAATGTGTTTTAATATGAAGAATGTAAAACTAAAGATTCAAAAGTCATATCACATGATTCATCTTCTCTTAGCACAAGCAAATCTAGCCTAGCATGGTGGAAAGAAGAAAACAAACTGAATAATAAAGAAAAAACATCACCAATTTAAATCTTGAATTGAATCCTTGCGTCTTGATGTTAATCTTCACGTTTTTGTCACGTTCTCCCCTCTGAAAACCTTTCTTAATGTGTTATAATGCGCTTTCCTCCTCGAGGATGTCTCTCGGGCTTAAAAGATATCCCAAAATTTGTTTTCATAAGAATTTCAATCACATAAGGAAATCAGAATATTTTCCCCGCGATTAGCCTGGGCAGTCATTTTAAGTCTCGATATTTGTTCTTTGTGATTGGGCGGTCGCCCAGTTATATTTACTTTCAATTGTTGCATTTTAGTTCCCAAATTTAATTCTTGATTCTTTTAAATCATTTCTCTTGTAATTTCAACCCTTCAACTTCTAATTACTTCCAATTGAACCCGTAACATCTTGAATCTTCAATTAGTGGTCCAAATCAACTATTGAAATGTTGCAATTTAACCCTCATACTTTGGATTTCACCATTTTTCTTTTCCAATTGCTTAGAAACATGTCCATCACTCTTTTCTCATTTCTTCTTCTTCTTC